TTGGGAGAAAATATTTTTATTTTTTAATTTTTTTGGGAAAAATCTATTCTTATTGCATTATCATGTCCTTTGATGTCTCTATTTATAGGCTCATAAGACAAGGACGGTTATAATATGATAAATGACCCTAATTACTTATTTAGTGGTTACAGAACATTCAACGGTCATAATGATCATGAACAGCCAACAATCAATATTATTTATAACACTCTTCCTTGGATGTCCAACGGTCATCCACAGACCGATGGCCAAACAGAACAAATGAACAAGACATTAGAACAGTACCTCAGGGCCTATACTTTCGTAACTAAAAGCCATTGTCTCCACCCTTAGCCACCGCCTCTCGGTCATGAAAAATCTTCGTGAGCACTTGAAAAAGGCACAACATATAATAAAGACACAAGTTGACGAAAAAATATGTGATTTTACCTTTAAAGCCGGAGACTTGGTCCTTCTTCTTTTATAACCATATCATCAGTTTTCTCTTCATCGTATGTCCTTGCAGAAACTTTCACCCAAATTCTTTGGGCCATACCAAGTAATAGCTAAGGTTGGTGTTGTTTCTTACCATCTTCAGCTACCACCGGAGGCCTAGCTCCACCACGTCTTTCACATTTCCTTATTGTGACTATTTCATAACCATGCTGACAGACCACCACCCAACTACCCCTCCTTAATAGCGCAGTCAGACCTCGAACATACACCAAACGTAATCCTTGCAACCATAAACATTTGGCGTCAAGGTCTCTTACTCAGATAATTGCTAATCCAATGGTCCAACCTCCATTCGAAAGCGGCTACATGGGAAGACGAGGTGGATTTAGAAAACTGAAATAATGATGAACCCCTCACAGAAGCTACATCACTACAACCTAAAGGTCACACATTGTGTCCGAATTTTTTACCCACACCAAATGACAGTCTACAAGGCAAGATACCCGTTTTGGTCAACATCGATGCACAGTCAGGTGAAGAAGAATATGCAAGGGTCCATGATAATACGACTTAAAGTCTGCAGATAGTGCGCAAAACTGTTCTCTTGGAATGCACATAATAAGACACTATAAGCAAAGACATTGTAAAAAAATGGTACATGCATGAATCATTGATGGGCAATAGAAACATCATGAGTGACAAGGGGAATGAGAGTATGGTTTCTAGTGAGGAGGATGCAAAATGGCAATTACAAATAAAGGAAATAAGCGGAATACATTCAAGGCTACTTCAAAGGAACTTTTGTTATCTCAAGGTTCATTAATGGCAACATTATACACATTGCACAAGACACATATTTTCAATATGTACTGCTTGAGAAGTCTTTTACGATGCTGCTACCAAGTGATAAGGATGATAGCGTATTGCCCAATCAGCTTACAGTTTTCGAATTTCAATCCAGCGAGAACTCACCATGTTAGCGTCCTCTTAATAACTCATTGGTTGTAAATTCAACATTCCATCGGCATGTTGATGATGCCATCCAAACCGTTGAAGCATAACCTTTTTTGTAATCCACTCCAGCAGTTCTGGAACTTGACGACAAGGTCTGTCCTGATGGGAAGGGGAATATAACAAGCCCAATTACAAGTAGGCCCAAAAGAACTACAAAGCTACCAGCCCATTTCAAGGATTATGAGACATAACTAGCCCAATGGTTAAATTTGTTTTATGATGCTTTATTAGGATATTTCTACATACTAGGATAAGATTCTTTAGTTTAATTTCAATTGCAATTTATCTTTATGTTAGTTAGATTTATCATTCTGTTATCATTTGTTAGTTAGCAATCATTTGCGCATTATTTTGTTATTGTTGCCTTGTTGGGGTGACTCTTTCCTTTATGCTGGCATGCACCTCATTAATGGGTGCATGGCTCAATGACTGTCCAACCAATAAATGCTACCCATTAATCATTGTAGAAGATTCTGGAAGAAGGTAGAGGATTCTCCTCACCTCTATATACATGAAATCATTTGTAATATGAGGATGATGTTTTTAGCTTAAGAACAATTTGAGAGTACCTTAGAGAGAAGTTTGAAGAGTGACCTCTTTAGAGAAGTTTGAGAATACAATCATCATTGGTGAAGTTTGAGTGTATTTCTAGTGTAATTTTGTAATTTTTCTTTTCATAGTGAAATATTTTCTGGACTAGTTTTCCGTGGTTTTTACTTCTCTACATTAGATAAGGTTTTCCACATTAAAAATTTGATCGTGTCTCTCTGTCTCTCTCACTTATGCATTTTTAATTTCAATGTGTGTCGATCGACCTCTAAGTACCGAGCTTCACGCTCGACGTGTCGACATGTGAATCACTTCCATGCTAATTTGAGGGACCGACGTCCCAACAATTATTAGGTAAAATAATTCACAAATTCTCTCTCTTTTCTCCATTCCTTTCTCCTCTCCTCTTCTCTCCCAATGATCTTCCCCTTCAGTTTTCTACTTTAAAAAAAATTGTTCTTAATAATACTAAAATAAGACCTAAACTTTACAATACTCTTAATATTTTCGTTTTCAAATTATTATCGTAAGCTAATAATGTAAATTAATAATAATTTTAAAAAATTATATTTCATTTTTCAAAAACTTTTTTATTTATCAAAAAAGTGATTATTAATTAATTATTTTTTAGATTACTAAAATTAATTTGCCCAATGGATTGATGAGCTCCAATCATGTACACAAAAATTCATAGAACATTTCCAAAACTGCCCATGAAGCACATTACTCATTCATATAACTAAGTGCGACGATAAATATTTACAGATTCTTAAAGGGTTGAATATGATACCTTGGTCAATAGAGTATTATTAAAAATTGACTAAAAAGAACGGGAGAGCATTGGACCGTTCATCAAACTTTGTTAATTTTATTGAGCATTAGTCATAAAAAAAGTGAGTAACTACAATCCAATCATACACATATTCATTCCCTTAGCAAGAGGGATCTCTTGCTCTCTAATAGATTTCTTTTTTTTTGGAAATATTCCATCGGTTCATCGCTTCGCGATTAGTCCGATTCGGGGCGGGTCCAGCTAAGCAAATTGTTCAAGTTTGGCCAAATCAATGCAAGCAGTGATCGAGCTAGGTAGAGGCGGTTATCCCCAATGATGCACCGACACTTCAAAAAATCTGACGTGTTGTGTCCGACATTTTCTGACATTCCGACACTCCAATACGCGTTGCAGGGATTGTGCTGCGTTTTTAGTTTCAACTATTAGATTCGTTGGATTACGATTACCATTTTATTGAGTTTGATATAAATATTTGTGATATCTTACGTTTCTTTGCAAAATTGTAGCTTCATTCTTTTTTTTTTATAAATTATTAAATATAATATACACTACATAAATTAAAAATAATATTTAATATCAAAATATGTCATAACATGTCAAAATCTAACATTTTTTTAAATTAACGTATGAGAGTTTAGTGTCTTGTCTCGTGTCTCGTTCGGTGTTCAGTGTCGGTGCAACACAGGTTACCCCCTCAAAATAAACAAGGGGACGTTTGGTAGAAGAGAAATTTTGTTTTTCCGGGAATCATGATTTTCAGGAATATCATGGGAAATTAACTATTCCAGGAATGTTACCAAAATGCTGTTTGGTAGGCAAAAATATTATCGGGAATATTAGGTGAATTTTCCTAATGCTATGTTTGGTTGATTGTAAAATATTGCTGGGAATATAGACGAAATTTACAAAACTACCCTCGATTTGAAATATCCAGGCTCTTTCTCTCTTATTGCAATGTTCATTTCCCCCTCACCTCTGTCTCCTCTCTCTCTCTCTGTATCTGATATTCAACATCTGCATTTTCTCTGAGTTCTCTCTCTCACTTCAACTTCAAAGTTCAAACTCAAACACCCTCTCTCTCTCTCTCTCTCTCTCTCTATATATATATATATATATATATATATATATGTATGTATATATATATCTCTAAAGCAAAAAAATGCTCTCTGTACTGTGATCTGTCTTTCTCTCTGTGAGTTCTAATTTTTATTTTTATTTTCATATTTTTGTTTCTCCTATGCCCCACCATGCAACTATCTTAATGAGAACAATGCCAACCAACAAATATAATAACATATTCAGTCAATCGATTTTGTGTCTTAGATATTAAGCGAAGGCTTCCTGTTGAAACAAATGGGTTATATTTCAGTCGACCAGCTAGGTCACGATATTGATTTGTCTGAAATTCTAGTGAACATTTTTCCACCAACAAGGATTCCTAAAATACCACATTTTCGATGGCCATCTTTGTTAACATTTTTATGTGTTACGTGACATTTTGGAAATAAAACTTTTCCAAGATAATTTTAGATATCTATGTATCAAACATGAGAATATTATATTGCCACTACCACTTTCCTACAAAAATAAAATATATTCACCTACCAAACACTACCTAAGAGAACTCGTCGAAGAACCAACCCACTACTATATTATCCTATATAAATTGGTATGAATCTTGAATTTCTCGTCCCTTAATCTTTTGACTCCACCATTAAATGAAAAAAGGTACAAAAATATTAACCACTCAGAAGTCAAATTGTAAGTTACTTGTCGTTCAAAATAAAATAAAATTGTAAGTTACTTAAATTTTTGTAAATGAATGTTTTTTTAAATACAAATATTGTTATCAAAACGTGTGATAGTATAATGAGTTTGAAACCATTCTATATATTAAAATAAAGCAATTTAATAAGAGTATCAATTATATGTTAAAATTTATAAGGTTGATAAGTGGCATCCCAAATGATTGAATTAACCAAATTCATCATCAATAAAAAGGTATTCAATGAAATAAAATGTCTCGAATCAGTACCATACCCATCCCATAATAACAATAATACTGCACTTTTCCAAACATCAACATCCTTTAAAAATTGTTTGATCCAACCAAAGTGAAGATCTTAATCTTATTATACATGTTATATATCTAAGAAAGTTAAACGATACTTTACTTGCGTTACACTTTCATTTCAAAACCCGCGAAAATCAAAACCCTGCTTTGTTCTAAAAATCAAAACGCACGAAACGGTGAATAAGCAAAGCAACGAGAGTAAATAAGAAGAGCGTGAGCACGGTGGCGCCGCCCCAATGGATCCGATTCAAGTAGGTAACGAGCTTGCTTTCCGGGTCGGGTTCTCGGGCCACAGTGGCCACCTCAGGGTGGAGCCGCTGTCAACGGCGGAGCGTTCCAACCCGCTGAGGTCCATTCCCGATTTCATTCCGGTCAGTCACTATATCCTCGACGGTTGACCTATATGCTCTCTCTGTTTACCTTACTCCATTTTCAGTCTCTCTAGGTTTTTGCTGCACCATGTGCAATATCACTTTAATGGCTACCTAATTTTTCTGATTATTTTCAATTATTCTGCCACAGTTGCTTTCTATGTGCTCAATTCTAATTGATTCATAACCCAATTGAGTCATTATTATTGTTATTATTATTTTTTTTAAACATATTCAATGATATATTCTATGAGATGTTTCAATCTGTTTTCTGTAGTAGGTTTTCCGTAGAAGAAAAGGCATTGACCTTTGAAAAAGAAGAAAACAGTTAAATATTTGACTGTTTTGCACTGATTTGCAATATAAACTAACTATTCAAGCGTAGCATTCGTGGTAAAAATGAAATGATTAAGATATTCAGTTTAAAAACCTTAAGTTGCTTGCTTGTAGGCTTGTAGCCAATGGTACCAAAGACTGACAACTGGTTATTTGATTAACATTGTGATTATTTTACCCCTTTAGCAACATAATTAGCAAGTTAGATGGCTGGCTTTATGTATTTATTTATTTTTTTCATCAGGAGCTTCGTTTTGACACCTTTGACTATACTAGTTTTGTTTTTTACTGTTAGTCTTCAAAGACTGAATTGGAATTTTGTTTTCATTGGTAACTTTTGCCTTTTTTATTTCAGCCCCCTGCATTTCCTAGGGAGACACCTGAAACTATAAAGAAGTATATAGAAGAGACATATCTCCAGCCAAGATTGGATCCTGATGAATTTTCACCTGAAAAAGTTGGGAGGCAGTGGGAGTTTGACTGGTTTGACAGGGCTGAAGTTCCTCTGGAGCCATCGTTGCCACGGACTGTGGTAATTCCAACTTGGGAACCACCGTTTCGACGTTCGAACAATGGATCAGCGAAAGGAACATGGGAACCAAATTTTGAGGAGGTGTGAGTGCTTTTGTGTTTAGCTTGTGTTCCCAACTGACGGCCCATTTAGTTTGATACAAGGATATGAACTTGCAAATTCTGTATGTGTTGGAAAGTTTTGGTTAAAAATTAGAAAAAAATTAGTTTTAAGTTGATCTTAATTGATGTTTGTCACCTTTATCGCTAGTGCCTATAATGTTGTATTAGGTGGATGTATCAGATCTGGCATCAGGAGATGTAGCGTCTGGGCCATTACTGGGCTCTTCTGTGAAGGACTTTGTAAGGGGAAGCATCAATAATCGCCCTTTTCGTCCAGGAGGTTTGAGTGATTCCCAAGCTTTAGAAAGAATTATTCCGGAAGGTGCTTCTAATGGTGAATGGGTGCGTGAAATTTTTAATGGTGGCCCTGCTCAGACAATTCCTCCAAGCTTAAAGCAAGGATTGGACCTTGGTGTGCTCAAGGTTATTTATTTATTTTTTAATTATTCATTTGTAAGGAAAATCACTGGTTGTTTTATGTCTGAACTTATTTGTAGTTTGAAATTTGATATAACTCATGTTAGTCGTGTTTTATCTTATTTGAAGCCATATCCATGCTCATGGAATGTTTACAAGGACGCCAGTTCACTAAAGATCTCATCAAATGAAAAATTGGTTAGTTAATCATCTTATTGCTATTTTCTCCATGCAAATTTGTGAAAATTTGTTTCAATTGTATTCTTTTATTTACATTATAGACCTCCAAATTCCTATGCTAGACGGTGCTAGTACCTGGGAGATTATCAATTTAAGGACGTGCTTGTTTGATTATATTTAGAAACAATCATGTACATGATCTGCTATCTTATATTGACAATACTTGAATCATACTGGATGCAGAGTGGATTGTCTGTACAGTTTGATGACTTATTTAAGAAGGCTTGGGAAGAAGATGCTGTTGGAGAACAAGAGGAAGAGGCCGTTGGAGAACAAGAGGAAGATGGTATTTGCAGTTCTTTTTATCTACATTTTATATTTGGAAATCCTGGCATTGCGCTATAACCAGATATCTTTATTAGACCAAACTCTTTTCCATCTCTTTTGTGGTTAATGATGATCCTGTTTGCTAAGGTCATTTATTAGAAGTGGATACTGCTTTGTTGGAAGCTGAAGTTGATACGACTGAGGTATCTAGCAAAGCACACGAGAGTGAAATGTCGCTTGATGATATTTTGTTAGCTGACTCAAAAGGATTAAAACTGCATTTGGATGGATTTAGTGATGAAGTTGGACAGCAACAGAAGGAAGTGAGTGATTACGAGCTAAAGTATCATGAATTGTGCTTAATGTAGAACTTCCTGTTTCATGTTGTGCATCATGAATTTTTCTTGCTGTTTCTGTGGCAATGTTTGAGATAGGAAAGCTATTCTTTTGGCAGGCTTGGGCTATGCATGAATCCAATCAACAAATCGCGGATCGCTTTTATGAACTTGTTCCTGATATGGCACTTGAGTTTCCATTCGAATTGGATGCATTTCAGAAGGAGGTATTTATTCATGCTTATTTTCTTCTTATTTATCATCAGTGTACAATGACCATAATCCAACAATGATGACTGAAACTACAAATATAGGCATGCACTAATTGTTTCATAGAAGTGGTGCAGTTTAAACTAAAAAGTAAAAACAGCTATGTTGGAATGTCTCCCTATCCTACTCCTGCCCTGGGCTGTAAAGTGGAACCTAAACCTTACACCCACATTTTTCTGTGCTGCACTTTCCACTTAGGTGAAAATGTCCTTGGGGATTTTCCAAGTGACTGATTGTTGAGGTCTGCAATCTATTTTATTTGTAGTTGCAACTTTGTAAGACACCGTACCAGTGACATTCTGATTTAAACAGTTTATTTCATACTTCCATTTTATTTCTTATATTTATTGTGATGCTGTTCTTTCTTGTAATTGTCTTCTTCTTTTCTAGTTTGTTCTTTGATCAATTCATTTTATGAAGTAACTAGTTAGAAATTTGCTCCATTTTTTTGTTAGTAATTTACACATTTTTCTTGCAAATGAATTCAGTTGATTATATTATGATTGGGATATTACTCCATCCTAAATTCTGAGAGGAAGGGGGTCTTTTGGCCTTTGCGGATTGGATCATATGCATTTGGAGGAGCCACATCAGTCCATTTTTTAATTATTTTGCATTATAATTAGTCATGTATTGTTAAAGAAATCTATGTTCATTTTAGCTTGCAACCTTGCAGAAGATTATTCTTTCTTATTGTCAACAAAATTTTCATTTTATCTTTAACTATGAGAGGTGACTTAGAATATGTTATCTTTTAATGTTATTTATAGCATGAATATGCTACTTATATTTGTCTTTCTTATAAATTTTTGTTCCCTTGCTTTATAACAATTGCAGGCTATTTATTATCTTGAAAAGGGGGAATCTGTTTTTGTGGCTGCTCACACGTCAGCTGGAAAGACAGTTGTTGCTGAATATGCATTTGCTTTAGCATCTAAAGTATGCCCAGATTTATGACTGTTGGTTCAGTTTTTTTGTTTCTTTCTCTTTGCTTCCTGGCAGTGTAGTTGCATGAAGCCATGAACTATATTCCTCAATATCACTGGAGCACTGTGCTTAAATGCAATAGTGCTTTGATTCTACTATCGTCTTGATATTTTGACCCATGCTTATAATGTTGTTAAGTTTTTCCATTTTAAAAATTCCTACCAATCAATTTGACTGCAAAATAGAGGCATATCTCAAATTTTATTGAAATTTTCTGTTTGAACTTTATACTTGCAGCACTGCACTAGAGCTGTGTATACTGCTCCAATAAAAACCATCAGCAATCAGAAATATAGAGATTTTTGTGGGAAGTTTGATGTTGGGCTTCTTACTGGTGATATAAGCTTGAGGCCAGAGGCTTCTTGTCTCATCATGACCACAGAAATTTTAAGATCAATGCTCTACCGGGGTGCAGATATTATTCGAGACATTGAATGGGTAAAGACTCTTTGGTTTCTTTTATAAACAAAAAAAGACTTCTCCTTGTGAATTTCTAGCAATTGATATTCTTTTGCTTATTTATTTTCTTCATAAATGTGGTAGGTTATATTTGATGAGGTGCACTATGTCAATGATGTTGAAAGAGGTGTCGTTTGGGAAGAAGTAATTATCATGCTTCCAAGACACATCAATATCATCCTCCTTTCTGCCACGGTACTTATCATTCCAAATAAATTGGTCCTCAGTTAATATCCTACTTAAGATGATTTGTGCTTGATATTCTGTGTAAAAAGCATTTCAGGTTCTGATACTTACCAAAGCTGAATTTGTTTCTGCAACTCAAAGCACATGAAGCATTGCAGTGCTGGCAGTGGCATGAATGTTTTAATAACAAAATAAAAAAATTCTTTGGAAACAGCAAGCTCTTTGAATTAAATTAAAACTAGCCCTAGGAGGCCTTTTTTTAAATTTATTTCTCTTACAATTTTTTGGGTACATATTTCTCTTACAATTTTAATCAGATTTAGTAGTTTTAGGAACTTCTTAAAACGAGGAGAAAGTGAGCCAAAAACTTATAATAGTGCAGAGATAAGGTGGTCATTACAGTAATAATTTTATTGTTTAAATTATTTAATGGTTGGTGACATCAACTGAGGTTTTCCCTTTACACAGTATTGTTGAACTATTGCTTACCAAATTGATATTTTCTTTTTGAGTAAACTACTATTTTGGTCTGTGAAAGGGTTAACATCAATTTGGCCCATGAAAGATAGGTGACATCAATTTGGTCCCTGACAGATGGAGAATGACATCTATTTAGTCCTCTAAAGAAATTGTTTTTGTCATTATTGGTGTTGAACTGTGGGGATGTAAATGAGTCAGGAGAATGACATCTATTTAGTCCTCTACTAAAGAAATTGTTTTTGTCATTATTGGTGTTGAACTATAGGGGTGTAAATAAGTCAGGCCAAGTCAGATTTTTGCCTAAATAGGCTAGGTCTGTGTAGAATATTTCAATTTTGGTTTGGCTTGTTAGCCTAATACAAACCAAATTATAAGCTTGACTTGATTTGTTTTTTAACAATACAAGGTTTTGCCTGGCCTATCAAGCCTTAAAAAATGACATATTGCACTCTGTAAAATATATGTTATGATTAATTTGTTTATTTGTTTTTTTTGGATGTTTAAGTTGATGGAAAGTCAAAATAGTAGCTGAAGCCTCATCACAACCCAAAATATTATTTTCTTAAAAAATAACAAGATATTATTGTCTTAAAAAATAATATCATATTTTATTAAAAAATACAGGTCAGGCTTGGAGGCTTAGAGGTCAGGCCTTTTAAATAAGATAGGCTTGTAGCCTAATTTTTAAAGAGAATTTTTAATGAGTTTAAGCCTGTACTATTTTTAAAACGGAACAAGCCAAGCCAAGCCAGGCTGTAGACCCTTGACCAGCCGCTTGATCCATTTGCACCACTATGAATTGCCATATTACATGTCCAAAGATGTAGTTTAGCTTTAATTTACATAATATCAAAATTGGGCATTTTATTGTGAACTAGTCACTAATGGAGTATTGTCATCTACATGTTGATCATAGATATTTGCTATTCAATTTTTTGATAATCTAAAATAGGCTGAGTTGTTTCTATGATGTGATATTCTGAGTAGTGTTTTATAAGTTCCAGTAATAATTTAATGGGGTGAAAGTGATATGCACTCACTTGTCTTACTCTGTTTGAAGCTTGTGAAGATGCTCCTTGCTTCTGTATATTCTCTTGAAGTTTTGTTCCATTGGCTGTGCATCAGAGCGTCTAGTATTTTCTTTCTTCCCTGAATCATATTTTGATTATATGACGGACTGCAGTCACTTTCCTTAAAGTTGTACTTTTTTTCTTTTGCAGTCAGTTCCTTTCTTGATTCTTGTATGTTGCATATATCTGTTGGCCTTAGATTGTGCCATCCCCTTTTCATTTTGTTATCCTTCACAGCAAATCTATGCTGTCTTCATTTAAAAAAAAAACATTTTGCAGGTTCCTAATACTATTGAATTTGCTGATTGGATTGGCAGAACAAAACAAAAGGAAATCCGGGTTACAGGGTAAGTTGTGAATCTATCTTACATAAAAAGTATGATCTACTGAGGGTTAGTTAGCAGTTGAAAATATTGTCAGTGTAAGAGTTGATTTAAACATATTTACCCTTTTGAAAATTACTAAGTCCTTGAAACTTATTAAGCCATACTTGGTACACTCATATTTCTCAATAAAATTTTTCACACTGTACAAATTAAAGAAGAGTCAAAAGAAGGAAACTATTAGGATATCCTCTTTAACTTGTGATTTCCTTCAATTTCAAACACTGATTAGTGAGTAGTCTTGAAATAAGTTTTTCTTGCCAAACTATATTTCACCAACCTAGTATTTCTTTCATTTTATTAAAAGTATCTGTTATTTGAAATCTTAATCCATGAAATTTAGTTTGGGTTTCTTATTAACTTTTATATATAAGATGAACAGTATGAATACATTAAGTAATTTCTATTGTTTTTTAAAATAAGCTGGTGTCATTGATTTGTTAATTGGTACTATTAAAACATAAACCACAATAACTTTTTGCAAATATGTATGGGTAAGACTGCTTTTAGATATCTGGGATCAATTTTGCAAAAAGGTGGTGAGATTGATGAGGATGTAAATCATAGAATCAGAGCAGGATGGATGAAATGGAGGAGTGCATCTGGGTTTTTGTGTGACCGCAAAATTCCCCTTAAGCTAAAAGGAAAATTCTATAGAACAACAGTAAGGCCTGCAATGTTATATGGAGCTGAATGTTGGCCAACACATAGGCAACACGAGCATAAAATGGTAGTAGCAGAAATGAGGACGTTAAGGTGAATGTGTGGTTATACAAGGATGGATAAGATAAGAAATGAAGATATTCGAAGAAAGACAGAAGTAGTACCGATAATTGGAAAGATGAGGGAACATAGATTGAGGTGGTTTGGGCACGTAATGAGACGGCCCCTGGATGCTCATGTAAAAACAAAAGTTTGTTACTAAGAGCTCGACACAAAGAGAGGTAGAGGTAGGCCGAAACTTATCTAGGGAAAGGTAGTTAAACAAGACTTAGTGGAGTGAGAGATAGATTGGCGGACGATGTGTCTTAGGACGGAATGGAGAAAAGCTATAAGCAGGGTGGAAGGTTGAACCCGTTGTTAATCCTATGTTCCAGATAGTCCCTTTTTAGTCCTTTTCCTCTTCAATCCCCCTTCTCTTTCTTTTCCTCTTCTTGCCTTTTATCTTATTTCCCACTTCTCCAATTTTTGTTTTTATTTATTTATTTATTTTTATTTTTATTATTTTTTAATCTCCTCTTATTTATCATTGGGTTCATCTACCACGGACCCCAATTAGTTTGGGTTAAAGGTGTTGTTGCTGTTGATGTGTGGGTAAGATTGCATACAATAATTGCCATCACTCCACCTTCACTATTCGGGGTTTGATGGGGAGTGTTCCCCCCCCCTACTATTATAACATAATGATTGATACTATAAGACTGAAATCTACAATGATGGTGCTTAAAATAGAATTTATAAACTCTCTCATGATAACTGTCTTATCTTTTTTCCTGCTCTAATGATAAATTTTTCCATCAGGACAACCAAAAGACCTGTCCCATTGGAGCATTGCCTGTTTTATTCCGGAGAACTTTACAAAATATGTGAAAGTGAAACATTTCTACCTCAGGGATTGAAAGCTGCTAAAGATGCTTCAAAAAAAAGGAATTTGACTGTTGCTGGTGGTTCTGGACCAAAGCCAAGGACTTCAGCAGGTCATGACAATGCTCGATCTCAAAAACGGGAAAATACATCTCGAGTGAAACAGCATGGAGCTAGTTTCTCTGGTGCTGGCAGAGGCTATCAGAATAATGGCAATGGCCAGAATAATTGGGAACTGAGGAAAGCGGAAGCTTCAATGTGGTTGATGCTTATCAAGAAACTCTCCAAAATGTCATTGTTGCCTGTATGATAACTATGTTCTATTAATGTATTTTATGGAAAATTACAAAAGGAATTCTTGGTAAAAATATTTCCAATCGAGGAACAATTAATTAGTTAATGAATGTTCAAAGAGTGGTTAATGATAACCACTTATTGACTTAACTAACCACTTGAGAGACTAATTGTTTGGAAGTTAGAAATATTTTCACCGAGTTCCCCTTTGTGGTTTTTCCATCTAAAGTTTATTACTGAGTGTTACTATATGTCGATCATGTTTTAACTTTCAAATGGTCCTGGGGTTTTGAATGCCCCTTTATGAAGACATTTTTAATAGGGCTTTGAAGCTCCTCCTTTATCATTACTATGATTATCATCAGGTTAAATTACTGAGTCCCCGATAAATATACTTTTTAATGGGTCCTTGAAACCAATTGTTTTAATTTGGCCCTTAATTTATTATTCAATTGGATATAAATCATGCAGGACTGTTGAGTCCAAGATGGAAAATGCTGACTTGGCTTCCATTTGCTGATGTGACAGGTGGCATGATGGAATAATTTGCTGATGTATCGTTCTGTTAATGACTTGATTGTTTTGGACCCAATTGATAATAAATTAAGGATCCAATAGAAACAAATTTTTGGGACTTGTTTAAAAACTCGGTGTCTTTTTCTGAGAGCTAGAGTATTATTATTATTATTATTTTTATTTTTATCATCATCATCTTAATTGTTCATTTGGAACTTGAATGCAGGTGGTTATATTTTGTTTTTCTAAGAATCGCTGTGATAAATCAGCTGATAGTATGACCGGGACTGACCTCACTAGTAGCTCAGAGAAAAGTGAGATCCGTCTTTTCTGTGACAAAGCATTTTCACGACTCAAGGGATCTGACAAAAATTTACCACAGGTTAGCTGGTGTATAGCTTAGCACTTTTCTAACTGTGCTGGGCTTCTAATTACATTATGTACAGGTTGTTCGTGTCCAAGATCTTCTTCATAGAGGGATTGGCGTACATCATGCTGGCCTCCTTCCAATTGTAAAGGAAGTTGTTGAAATGCTTTTTTGCCGTGGTGTTATCAAGGTGATATGGGATTTGTATTTTGTTGCATGACATTCATGGTTTTATCCGATCTTATGTTGAACCCAACTTTTTATCAAAGATGCAGCAAACTACTTTATATTTTGAGAGGCATAGGTTCACACATTTCTGGTTGTAGTTAAATTATTTATTATTTAAGATTGATGTCTAAGTGCTTGACTTATTTTTTGTTCTAGGTCTTGTTTTCAACGGAGACATTTGCAATGGGAGTCAATGCACCTGCTAGAACGGTAAGTCTCTTTTTAGTGAGGCTGCTAAATTGGAGGTGCATTTTACTTTGAATTTCAAATTACAATGGAGTCTAATTAAATTTCAAACCTTTTATTAGCTTAACAAATTTTATGGCTGATTGTTTGATTGATCATCAAACTATGCTGTGATGTTGCTTACAAGTGACTCTGAACACAATGATTAAAAAGTTTGCTCTTTGGTTAACTTTGAGTTTCATATTAACTTTAAGATGTGTTTGGATCAAATGGTTGCACATTTTTTGTGTGTGTGTGCCTAGTGAGTATCCCGGGCATTGTACTAGTTCTTTTAAATTCAGATAGAATTTAAAAAAATATAAATAGAAAGAGAAATTATATGTAAAATTGGTAAAAAACGATATACATAATTAGATTAAAAGAGAATTTGAAAGTTTAAAAAAGAGAAGTTAAGAAGGACTTAGGGAAGATGAACATGTCATTTTTTGAGAGTACAATACGAAATTAAGTCACTCTCGAGTAAGAGTACTCTAATTTATAAAATAGGGGTAGATAAATGAAGTTTTGTTAGTGTGAAAAAATGCTAGAGAGAGAGAGAGAATAACATATTTTTCTTAAAAACAGAAAAGCAAAATCGTAAGTGCCAATAATAACACAGAGCTATCCAATCCCTCTGCTCGTTGGTCTAGGAAATCGCCGAAAGAATTGTGTCAGACTAGGAAGCTTCCCTAAACAAACCATTCTGGAAACACCAAAGATAGGCCTGGAACACAATCCTGTCCAAGTATGTATGGGCAAAAAAATGCCTTTGAAAATGTGAGAATTTCATTTCAGGTTCTAACCACCCAATACACCAGAGAATGGCAAAAACTGCATTTTGCCTCAAAGTTTTAGTCTGCTTATGCCTTCTATCAAGGACAATCTCTCCTAATTTCTAAAATTTAAGCTATTAGGTGGAAGCACTTAAATGATTTTACGTCTTTGACACTTTAAAATCTTTGAAATGTGAAATTGCTTCAAGGTGGAGTGACAAAATATTTGTAAGTATTTTTGCCCATAAATACAAATTTATACAGGATGATTTACTTCTTTATGAAATCATTTGTTTGAAATGAGAAATCGCTCCAAGGTGGGGGGCTAAATAAATTCTGTGCTAATTCAAACCTCCATTACTCAATGGTCTATGCCTATGGCAACTAAATGTGAACATGAGGTCTCTTTCACTTATTTGGCATTATTTGCATTGATTATATTAGTTAGATATCCAGAATTTATTTTAGATGAAAGCTTTTATTATCGACAAATAAAAAAAAGTGATTACCTATACAAATTTTTTAGCTCGCTGCCAATTGTTAAGGAATATTATAAAATAATATTTATGGCTTCATCTAACAACTTTTAAGTTTTTGGGTTGAATTGGTTTTGTACATGGTATCAAAGCACCTCAATGATCAAATGATCTAGAGTTCTATCCTTGCCGCCTCCATTTTTCTAATAAAAATTTCAGTACAACGTAGTTGGGCTTATGTATTATCCATGTTTTAATCCCTAAAAATAAGGGCTCTTGGTGTGGTAGGCATGTGCGTTGTCTACGCTTCAAGCTGGGCTATTGCGTGAACGGATATGTTAGAGATATAATGTATAAAACTATTAATGTGTTGTTCACCTAACATTTTAAGCTTCTGGGAGAGTAAAGAACCATTTCAACCCAAAAGTTTAAGCTGTTGGGTGAGGTTACATTAATGGTTTTTTATACTTCTCTAACACGTCCCCTCTCATGAGAGGCCCACTAGGCTTGAAGGGTGGACATTGCACAGGTCCACCTACTCGTGCTAAGAAAATCTATAAGACTTAATTAATTATTAATTAAATGGGGGACAGTGAGGATCGAACCCATGACACCCGAGGCTTTGATACCATGTAATGAACCATTTCAACCCAAGAGCTTAAGCTATTAGGTGAGGCTACATTAATGGTTTTATATATCTCTAACACACCTCCTCACACAAGAGCCCATTGAGTTTGAAGGGTGGACAATGCACAGGCTCACTTACCAGTGCTAAGAAATTCCACAAGAAAAAGTGGGGGGCGGTGAGGTCTAACCATGTAATGAACCATTTCAATCCAAGAGCTTAAGCTATTAGGTGATGCTACATTAATGGTTTTATATATCTGTAAAACGTCCCCTCACATGAGAGCCCATTGAGCTTAAAGGGTGGACAATGCAAGGTCCACCTACTTGTGCTAAGAAATTCCACAAGAGAAAGTGGGGGACGGTAAAGATCGAACCCGTGACATCAATGCTCTGATACCATGTAAAGAATTATTTCAACCCAAAAGCTTAAGCTGTTGGGTGATGCTACATTAATGGTTTTATATATATATATATATATATATATTTTGGTAAACATGGTTTTATATATCTTTAACCGGGAGAATTGATTGCATGACATGCTATTAAAGCATTTATGGTCCAAGGGGTCTAGAGTTTGATCCTTGCCACCCTCATTCTTGTAAAAATAAAAAGAATTTTGAAATTAAGCACAAGGCAACCAGAAAAGGTAGAAATAAAGAAAGAAATGGTTCTGTGAATAATTCACGCTTCAAATCCCAAAAGTTATTGCGTGAGTGAGCGTGTTAAGGAATAATATAAAATAATATATATAGCTTCACCTAACAGCTTAAGTTTTTGGATTGAATTAATTTTTTATACCAATTTTTGTAGAAAACCATCCCATTACCTTCAGTTTCAAATATGACAGTCTCATTTAAGGTGAACTATACTGTATTCTTTTGCAGGTAGTCTTTGATACTCTTAGGAAGTTTGATGGCAAGGAATTTAGGCAGTTACTACCAGGAGAATATACTCAAATGGCAGGTCGTGCTGGCAGAAGAGGACTTGATAAGAATGGTACTGTCATTTTAATGTGCCGTGATGAACTCCCCGAAGAGAGGGATTTGAAGCATGTTATTGTTGGAAGTGCAACTCGTCTTGCATCTCAATTTCGGTTAACCTATATTATGATCCTTCATCTCCTTCGAGTTGAAGAATTGAAGGTACACATGGCAATCAGTCCAAGTCCTGTATCTAAATATTATGACAATGATGGTGAAGATACCATAATTAATAATTTTGCAGCAATTGAGTGGAGAGGCAGCTTGATGAAAATTCAAATTCCTTTCCAATTTGAGATAGCTCTTCTTAAATAGATAATTAGATCTGACTGGGAAAAGCTTTCACTAATACTTTCTCTATAATTCATGAGAGGGGGAGGGAGGGGGAGAATATATTCTCTATTTTAATCATCCTTCATTCTGAAGATCAGCAAATTTTGGGCATTTGTTTCAAGCTTTGTTAAGTTATTCCTTGGAATTTGATGGTGGAAAATGAAATATTCCCATGTTTGGTTCAAGTTTTACAAAAATTTCTGCAGAATTCATTATTCCAAATAAAGGGATATGCCCATTTTTTAGTCCATTTTCGTTCCCATGGGGTATTTGCTATTCCCACCATGTAAGCATAAATCCTACTGTGCAAAAATACAAAATTACCCCTTCGGCCTTTGCAACTAAGAGAGTTAAGGTAGAAGAGAGAAAAGAGAGAGGAAAGGGAGAGAAACTGGAAGCACGGTATTGATGTGAAATTACAAGATGCAGTTCTGAATCTCAGAATTGATATATATAGGTTACTATCAGAAGCTTATATGAGAATGCAGGACTAGTTTGTGTGCCAAGGAAACTGTACTTTGTCACAGAAAATGACTGGGATTTTTGTTGGGACTTGGAGTTCCTGTAGGAGGGTCTGCACCCAGAGGATCTTAGCTGTCTGCAGTACTTGGTTTCAGCACTAGATCTTGCAACTAGAATAGGTTTCTTGGACTACCAAGAAATTAAATTAGAACCCAAAAATAGGCAAGTACCTGAAGTTGATCTCCGGTCATTTGGATTGGATGCCCAATCAACTTCACAAAAGACCACAAGAGATAGGGGATGTGTTGTAAATATGAAAAATATTTGTACTGATTTGTTTCCGTTATTAGCCAGAATGCCAGATTGTTTCCTTTATGAGTCAGATTGTATTCCTTTATGAGTCAGATTGTATTCTAGGATTTGAGTTTACTCCTTTATGTCCATTAGCTTCTGTATAAATAAGTACCCATCGTATATGATTTCTACATAATAGGTTAAATAATATTTCACTTTGTTTCATTTCACAATAGATAAATAAGTAAGCCACCTCTAGTGCAAGTTTCTCTTACGCCTCTTGAACTCCCAATTGCATGCCTTCTCTGTCTGGTTGTTTCCGATCATCTCCGAATAGTAAGCGAACAGGCTGCTTTGGGGAAGCAGGATGGAGAACAAGGCCATGAGACAGAGTGCCCTTTAGATACCTTAGGGTCCGTTTAACAATTTTCCAACACTCTTCCAACAGCTGGGAAAGGAATTGACAGACATTATTCACGCTGAATGCAATCTCTGGCCTAGTTAGGATAGCATTCTGTAGTGCACCAACAATGAATCTATAGAGATGAGGGTCTGAAATATAATCAGCCCCGTGTTTATTTAAGCCTGCACCCACTTGGCATAGGTGTGGAAATTCCTTTTGCTTCAGCCTTGCCAACTTTAATAAGTAAGTCCTGGATGTATTTAGATTGGGAGATAAGAATCGACCTTGAGAAAGATGCTTTACTTCAATCCCAAGGAAGTAGTCCAGACTGCAGATTACCCAATTGTTTTAGAGCAAATTTAAAATTGAATTGACCAATAAGCTGCTGAATTAAGGCTGAAATGCTTCGTGTGATGATATCATCCACATACACCAAGATGTAATTTTGATCCACTCGATGCTGAACTCCATTGTTAGCTGAACTTCCGGAAGGTGATGACATTTTGATGAATGAAAATGGATCAGGGTCCCAAGAAATGGAGCTTTGATAGCATAAAAGAATTCAGGCAGAAGAGAGAAAAGAGGAAACAGGGAGAAACTGAGAGAAAGGGGAAGCACTGTATTGATGTGAAGTTACAAGATGCAGTTCTGAATCTTGGAACTAATATATATAGGCTACAATCAGAAGCTTGTTAAGCAAGTTATAATATCTAACTGCCTCAAGACAGTTACACACAGTTGTAACTAATTTACTAACTGAATTTTAACTGTACAAAATAGAAGTAGTCTAATACTAAGCAGGCTACGGAGTAGAGTTACTACTCTTATAGCAACGTTCACGTCATGCCCTCGAAGGTAAACAATTTAGGGAAGGAGAAAGAAGCTGAGTTCTGCACCCTTGGGCTGTAGGAGATTATAGAATTTTCATGGGATAGTTTCTCTATTCCCAGTGAATCGATGAATTTTATTTGTTGGGCATTGGATGAGTAATACTGTATGGTATCTTCATGGTGCAATGGGTGCAAGGAGTGAGTGTAAGCGGTGGTTCAGAGGTGGAATTTATGGTTTGCTGAGGAGGTCTAAAACAGGAGCTGGTTGCAAGTTCTCCATGGTATTTGATGCTAGGGGTTTTGAACAAGGCAGTGGGGCGAATGAATGAAGATTTCATGGTGTCGTCACATCATGTCCAAACATCTTTCTCCTCTCTCTCTGAACAAACCTCTCTCTCTCATCTGGCTTTTTTTATTTTTAATCAATTACATTTATTAGTTACTTTATATAGTCGGGCCATTTTAAGAGTTACCACATATATTCCTTGGAATATACATCGTGAACCAAACAAATTTTTAAGTTATGCCTAGGAATTTAGAAAAAGATTCCCAAGAATTTCAAAAATGCTGACCAAATAATTTTTTCTAAAATATAGCATTCCTGGTCATAATATTCCTAGGAATGTGATTCCAAGTAGTGTACTTAGAAACCGTTAGACAAAAGCCCCCTAAGATGGTTAACAGTTGGTTCTCAACTTCTGAATGCTTCTTTTGAACATGTATTCTTCAAAAATTGATTGTCAATAATAAATTCTGAAAAAAACGTGAAAGAAAATAGTGTATCCAAGTTTTCTATTTAAAGTTGTAAGGTTTTGTGATAGGTGTCCGCCCATTACAAGAGTGTACGTACTGATAGGAGTGAAAGCTGGAAATCAGTTCCTTGAAATCAAAGGTTGAATGGGGGAGCATGAGTCACAAAGGGAAGGAAGGAAGTTGTAATTGTAACCCTGTCCACTTGGCAGGCAGTTGATGGTCAGGAGAAAGGGTCTGTTAGCGGGGACTTCAATTGGAAAGCATGAGAAAGGGAGGGGGCATTCAGTTTTGTGAGCAAAGTTAGAGCGGGAGGGGAGGTTGCAAGTCCCCCAAAGACCCTGTGGCTTTCCAGTATGAGACAGAGAGATACAAACGTCATCCTTTGTTTTGATTCTGATATTATTGTGAACATAATAATACTAATACCTGATTCCAGTTTTTTTCATTATGCTTTTCTGAAGATCAACTCCAATCTCTTAGTAACTTTGGGTCATCGCTGAGATTTATTTGGGAACCAATTAAGGATGGTCTACAAGAAATTATGGTCATAATGGATGATGTAGGACATGTGCGTTGTTGTTCTGTTGTAGTCAAAATGATGTAGAATAGGATAGGAAAGCATTAGGAGTTCAAGTCTGCAAGAGGCTTGGGTTATGGTACATTGAAAACTGGAAGTTATATGATTTTTTTTTTTTTTTAAATCTGAAGGAAGTCAGATGAATAATTAGGAGGCAGTTGGTTAAGGTTTGATTATGGGGCAAAATGAAATAGATTTTAGGGCAATTTATGATGGATGAATCAGTGTTCTGAACCATAGTCTGGACCCTGGTCGAGAAAGCTAATCCGAATAAGGCTTTTATCACATGAAATCAAATTATAATATAGGAGCAGTCAGGCTAGCCTGGGCATCCTTAAGGTTTCATCTGGCATCACGCCTTAGGGTGTAATTGCATTGCACAATCCATAAAACCAGCTTTATAGCTTCTTAAACCATTTATCCAACTAATGGCTATGTAAAATTAATGAATTACAATGTCTTCAATTGGAATAGATTCCTCGATTTAAGTCATTCTAATAATGCTAAAGACGTGAACAGGGCTCAACATGACTGCTTTTCAGTAAAATGCTAAATAACTTAAAATCAAAGAGTATTTACAGCCTCAACCATTACAAATATTACCAAAATAGTAAAAATACTGCTATTAAATGCTATAAGTACTTTCATTTTATATTAGCAATTTTAACTTTCTTAATGAATTGTTACCAAATTGGGTTGCAGGTAGAGGACATGCTTAAAAGAAGTTTTGCAGAATTCCATGCTCAGAAAAAACTCCCAGAAATGCAACAGCTTTTGAAGAGAAAGCTTAATCAGCCTACAAAGGCTATTGAGTATGCCGATTATCCTATCCTTGTCTTTAATATTGTTGTTTCTGACTTCAGTTCATGTCTCTTCATAATGCAATCTTGCTGTCATTATAATGTTCAGTCAAGCATTTTTGCTGTTCTTAAATGCTGTGATAGTGGGTGGTCAGATGCTCACTGAGTACGTCACTCTCACATGATGAGAAAGTGTAAAGAATCAATTCAGCGCAAAAATTTAAGTTGTTGGGTGAGGCTACATTAATGGGTTTATAATTCTCTAACACGTCCCATTACACGAAAGTCCATTGGGTTTGAAAGGTGGATAATGCACAATCCCACCTACTTGTGCCAAGAAACTTCATAAGACATAATTAATTATTAATTACATGGGGGTGGTGAGGATCAAACCCGTGACACCGAAGCTCTAATACCATGTAAAGAATTAATTCAACCTAAAAGCTTAAGCTCTTGGGTGAGACTACATTAATGGTTTTATATTTCTCTTAACACGCCCCCCTCATACAAGAGTTCACTGGACTTGAAGGATGGATAATGCATAAGCTCACCTACCTATGCTAAGAAACTCCACAAAGGCTTCATTAATTATTAAATAATGGGGGTAGTGAGGATCGAACCCGTAACACTGAGGCTCTGATACCATATAAATAATCAATTTAACCCAAAAACTTAAGCTTTTGGGTTGAATTGGTTCTTTATAGAAAGTAAAGTCAATGTTAGATATAAAACCATTTATTGTCTATCACCTAACAACTTACGATTTTATAATAGTTGATTTATGACACGGTATCAGAATCTTTCTGATTAAAACATGGTTTTTCAGTACGTGATATGTTGGTGATCATTCAAAGTTATAGTTCCTCAATTTCTGCTGGCCTTTCTGAGCATATGGCTTAACGAAAATATTGGAGGAGATGATATATATTGGTATACTCAAAATTTGAATATAGGATAAATACCACCAAATATGTGAATCAACTGGTAGAGGTTGTCTCAACTTAACTAGTGGTCTTGAGTTTAAGCTCTGAGTACATAGTTGTGTTGAAAACTTGGTAGGGAGAGCTCTGTCACTCTTGTGGAACTACCCAACTCGAACTAGATTAGTCGGGTAATTGATGAACTGGTGGAGACATTAAAAAAAATAAGATATAGGATAAATAGTTTTGTTAAGAACCAATTCAACCCAAAAACTTAAGCTGTTGGGTGAGGCTATGTTAATGGTTTTTTATATATATCAACACGCCCCCTCACACAAGAGCCACTGGACTTGAAGGGTGGACAATGCACAGATCCACCTACCTGTGCGAAGAAAGAAATTCCACTAGAAAGTGGGGGGCGGTGAGGATCGAACCCGGTACACCGAGGCTCTGATACCATGTAAAGAACCAATTCAACCCAAAAGCTTAAACTGTTGGGTGAGGCTATATTAATGGTTTTTTATATATCTCAACAAGTTTTGTTGAAAGAGAATTTCTAAATGGCTTAAGGAAAATACCTTAGTCCCAATCCATATATATAAGAATTAAAATCACTAACAAAATGGGAAACAAAATAAAACTGAATCTAAAAAAAATGTACTTAATTAGTTACCGATATACAATTCTTATATTTATGAGATTTATTTCCTAAAATAGATGATTCTATTTAACAAGTTCTACATGTAACATCATGTAGCTTAAACTTTTCATGTGATGGAGGTGAATGGAGTTCATTTAATTTGTATATGAAATTAATGTGCATTTGCATATGAAATCACAAGCTTTGGGACTCGATGATGTCCTTATTGATGTATGGAGAGGCTTGAAGGATATGACTATAAGTTGGTTGATGAATTTTTTCAATGAGATTGTCCAAACTAATAAGATGTCTAATGTATCGAGGAAAAATATTCTTGTGCCTATTGACAAAAATAAGAGAGATATCAAGAGTTGTTCTAATTATGGAGGCATTAAGCTTATGAGCAATACTATAAAGTTGTGGGAGTTTATTGATCATCACTTGAGGAGAGAGACTATGTTCTTTGTAAATCAATTTAGATTTATGCTAGGAAGATGTATCATGGAGGCTATTTTTTCTTGATACAATTGATAGAAAGATATCGAGAAAAGAAGGAGAACGTCCATATGGTGCTTATAGACCTCGAGAAGGCATATGATATGGTTCAAAAAAAGGTTCTATGGTGGGTTCTTGAAAGAAAAAAGTATTGTCAAAACATTTAGAGGCAATCAAGGATATGTATGATGGTGCTGCTACATGTGTGAAGGCTTGTAATCGAACATCAAGTTATTTTCCTATCACAGTAGGTGTACACCATGGATCTGCTTTCGGTCCTTATCTTTTGACTCAAATTATGGATGAACTAACAAAAGATATCCAAGATAAAGTGCCATAGTGTATGCTATTTGCAGATGATATTGTGCTTATTGATGAGACAAAGGTTGATGTTAACAAAACACTAAATTGTGGAGCACGTTTCAGTCTATAGGATTTACGCGAAGTCGGAATAAGACTGATTATATGAAGTGTGAGTCCACTCCAACAAGAGATGTAGATCAAGATTTTGTGCATTTGCTTGAACAAGAGGAATTCAAGAAAGATGCTTTCAGATATCTGGAATCAATTTTGCAAAAGGGTGTAGAGATTGATGAGGATGTAAACCTTAAAATCAGAGTCAGGTAGATATGATATAGTGCATCAATATTTTTGTGTGATTATAAGATTCCTTTTGGGCTAAAAGAAATGTTATATAGAACAAATAAGGTCTGCAATGTTATATAGAATTGAATTTGGCCAGCACCATAGACAACATGAGCATAAAATGAGAGTAGCAGAAATGAGGATGTTAAGGTGGATGTGTGGCCATACAACGATGGATGAGATAGGAAATGAAGATATTCAATGAAAGCTAGGAGTAGTTTCGGTGGTCAAAAAGATGAGAAAGCATGGATGGAGGTGGTTTGCACACATAATGCAAAGACCTTCTGATGCTCTTGTAAGAACAAGACTTTGTTACGATGAGCTTGACACAGAGATGAGCCGGTTAGCCGAAACTTACTTGGGGGAAAGTCAATAAAATAAGACTTAATTGAGTGAGATATAAATTGGCGGACGATGTGTTTTAGGATGGATTGAAGGAAAGCTATTAAAACTTTTTTTTTGTTTGTTCTAGATGTTTCCTTTTTAGTCATTTCCCCCTGTACCTTCCTTCACCTCTTTATTTTTTTTTCTTCTATAGTAAATAATATTGTATTATTGTTGTAAATAATATTTTATTATTTAGATTACTCTAGAAGCTTCTTTGGGCTTAGCCCATTAGGTCGTTTAGTCTCTTTAAATAGAGAACTCTTGTATAGTTATTTACACAATTTAATAATACAATCTTTCTTTTCAAGTTGATATCAGAGCTCTCGATTTTTAGGGCCTTGCTTCCGCGACCGCTGCCTTTAGTGTGTAACCCTTTTTTTCTTTTTCGGTCTCCTCCCTGCCACAAGCCGCCGCCGAAATTTTTTTCCTAGGACCTTTTGGACTGAGAAGACCATCGTTTGACTCGTTTTTTTCGAGATCTTTCATTCTATGGTGGTTTCGTGACCAACCGAAGCCCCTAACACCTTGAAACTCTTCAACCACACTTGCAGTTTCTGGCCGCCCACTTTTTCGGCCATTTTTCACCTCTGACCACCCACAGACACAATCGCCTTCTCCAGATTGGCCAGCCCTCAAAAGCCTACCGCCACCAGAGCTCACATGTGCCGTCACTCTCATCGGTGCGTGGAGGGGTGGTTCTGCCTTGGGTCACCGTCATTTGAATCGTCTTGATTTCTACTTTTTGGATCTGTTGTTGTTTTGGAGATTGGATACTGTTTGGCTAGTGCACCTTTGTTTTCCCCCTAAAAAGTTGTCTTTTTTGGTTTTTTGGATCTTTTTCAAACAGATTTGACCTTGTTGCTTTTGTTTGGACTTAAACCTGAAGTTTTGTTGTTTGGGCTCTCCAGAGACTTTTGTGGCTTCACTGGTAATTACCTAGTTTTTTTGTGTTGTTCTCTTTGTTCTGTTTTTTGTCCATGGTACGTTGGTGCACTTATTGTAAGAGTGTTGGATACACAAGAGACGTGTTTTCGTCTTCATGGGAAGTGTGATAATGCTACTCCATAAGTGAATATTCGGCAAGGGGTGTTGGGGTAGCTTACAACCGCTATTGATACTCTGCGTAAGCCGTCTGACAGTTCTTTGATTTCGTCTGGTAAGAACACACGTTCTACATCTCTTCTTACTTCTTGCACTGATTCTAAAACCTCATGGATTCTGGATTCTGGTGCAACTGATCATATGAGTTGTCTTGCTGAGTCTTTTCTTTCTTATCATCCTACTATTGGTTGTCATACTATAGCTGTAGCCGATGGATCCCATAAATCAGTTATTGGTTCTGTAACATTCAAATTCAACCTTCCTTGTTTCTTAAAATGTTCTTTATGTTCCTCAACTTTCCACTAATTTTATCTCCACTCATAAGCTTACAACTGATTTGAACTGTTCTATCACCTTTTTCCCTTCTCATTGTGTTATTTAGGATCTTACCACGGTGAAGACAATTGGAGTTGCTGAAGAGCAAGATGAGTTCTATTATCTCCTTCCAGAGCATGCTACAAATGATACTAAAAACCAGCTATTGATGACACATCATCCTTCTACTGCAGAATCTATGATTTGGCTCCATCACAAGCGTCTGAGGCACCCGTCATTTAGTCTATTCAAGTCAATGTTTCTTTCTCTGTTTCTAAATTAGTTAGTTGAGACCTTTCATTGCGATGTTTGTGAATTTGCAAAACACCATTGAATGTCTTTTCCTTCTAGTGCTATCAAAACCATTGAAACTTTTTCTCTTATTCATTCTGATATTTGTGGCCCTTTTAAAGTGCATAGTATTTCAGGTTCAAAGCGGTTTGTTTCTTTATTGATGATTGTACTCGGGTGATATGGATATTCTTGATGGAAAACAAGTTTGAAGCACT